CATGTGCTTTGTATTGTTAATATTCATGGGCTATTTATCAGTTAAGTGGAACAAGAACACAACTTGTGAATCTTATTTATTTTTTCATTCTCTTCATTTCGGTGTAACTAATGCAGCAAGTTTGTTTATACAAACATACACTGCTAAATATACATGTACATATGTAGCAGCCAGTAAAGCATAAAATAACAAATACATAATTTAATTAGCCAGGAAGCTATAGTCTTATAGAAATGGTAGTGAGTAAGGAAGCATACAGTTCAAGTAGCAATATGAAACAATACAGTAGGAGCAGTGAGTAGTACAATCCTGATCTCATATGTAAGTCATGCCAGACCACAAAGCCACCACACAAGATACAACCAACTCTCCCACTTCAGCAATAGTTATGTCATTATGTCTTTCTGTACACATACATGTACTTTATTAAATTCATTTTTATAGTGATCAATGATTATGATTAGTCATTTGAAGTACAGAGTCACATGCTTTAGTCATACATTTTTGTGCTACTGAACTCATCATATTCATTTGATTGTATTTCTAGTAGTTTAACTACACCTTAACATGTCATGAATATGAGATCTCATTGATCGAGTTCTGTCTACTCTATTTTTTAACGACCTGGGGGCGAAGCCCCCAGGTCGTTCCTATAATTGAATTCACCCTCGCGCTATGTATATATATATATACAGTGGAACCTCGCTTAACGACCACCCCTAAGTAACGGCCGTCTATCATATAACGGCCAAATGTCCAGGTCCGGATGCAAACTACACTTACTTGCCTGTTAAGGCAACCCCTGAAGAACGACCACCTCTCTATTGCGTATAACGAGCATTCAAAATGTCCCCAACACAGCATAAAGCATTGAGAAAAACTTCTCTTTAACGGCCATGTGGCCACACCCACAATTAATTGTTAGCACGTGCACACCCATTACTATTACAATTTATTATAATAATTTATTATTCTACAACTACAAATACAATTTAGTACAAGTGTTGCTAATCAAAGCACCCCGTCACAATTTAGGTTGCTAAAGATAGTCTTGAGCTTATCTATGTAAGGCTTTGGTCCATAAAATTTATATGTGCATGGAATTTCAAGTCCATAGCCTGCACCTCTGTTCACTTTAGAACCAGTTACTTCAGCCACTCCACTGTTTCTGGGTCTGCTTAGGAAAGCAGACACTGTAGGAGCGAGATTGTAAGGTATGTGGCCAACAATCAAGCCATTTTTTTCCACTGCAACACTGAAACGATCATGAGGATTGTCTGGCTCTTTCTTTAGCTGTATTTGTTCTCCAACAAATGGTTCCCACATGTGCATGTATGCATGATAACCCCTGATGTAAGACTGCACAGAGAATTCTGACATGGTGCTGCTGCTAGCACTAGTGGCCATACTGGATCACGTGTAATGAATTTTTAATTAGTTATTTTAATTACATGTAATTATTTAAAGAGTAGATAATCTATCTGCTCTTGGTTATTTTAATTTTTAAATCTCTTATGCAGCTGCGTGGTCTATGATGTCTTGTTTTACTGGTGTTGTTTCTAGTTCTACCTCTGTTTCTACTGCTAAGTCTAAGGCAGCCAAAGTATCAAGACATGCTCTAACTTTGAAGGAGAAATTCCAAGTCATACAGATGGCTAAGAAGAATCCTGGAATCAGTGGTAGAGCACTAGCCACAAAGTTTTCATGTGGTAAAACTCAAATAACCAGTATACTTAAGAACAAGGATACTATAGTTGAGCTGTATGAAGCTAACATGACCAGTAAAAGTCTTTTGAGCAGAAAGAGATGTCGAGAGTCAGAATTTGCTCCTATTAATGAAGCTCTCCATAGATGGTATCTACTGGCAACATCTCGCAATATTTATCCTAGTGGCCCACAGCTCTGTGAAAAGGCTAAGCAAATTGCAGAGCAGCTAAGTGTAGTTGATTTTAAAGCTTCTAATGGCTGGCTAGCAAGATGGAAGGAGAAAAATAATGTAAAGCAAGTAAGAATCTGTGGTGAATCAGGGGAGGTTTGCGGTGAAACAGTTCAATCTTGGAAAGAACGTCTTCCAGAGCTTTTGCAAGGTTTTTCATCAAAGAACATTTACAATCTGGATGAGACTGGATTTTTTTGGCGTGGTTTGCCTGAGACAGGATTTGGAATTAAAGGAAGTGCTTGCCATGGCGGAAAGAAGTCAAAGCAGAGGTTCACAGTTGTCGCCATAGTAAATGCTGATGGGGAAAAGGAGCTACCAGTTGTCATATGGAAGTCTCAGAATCCAAGATGTTTTAAAGGCGTCGACATTTCTACTCTTCCTGTTCGTTACTATAGTCAGTCAAAGGCATGGATGACTGGTGAAATATTAGATGCTATCTTAACCAAGCTGAATCGAAAATTCTCTTCACAATCGAGGAATATTGCACTTCTTCTAGACAATGCTGGGTGTCATCCTCATGAGCTAAAAGGAAAATATAGTCACATTAAATTGATTTTTTTACCTCCAAATACTACATCTAAATTACAACCATTAGATGTAGGTATCATTCAAAATTTTAAAGTGCACTACAAAACCCTTCTATTGCGCTATGTATTGTCAAAAATTGATCAAACGACATTTACTGGAGCTGAAATCGTGAAGACTATAAATATCCTCAAAGCAATCAGGTGGGTGGCACAAGCTTGGGATTCAGTGAAACAGGAAACTATTGTTAAATGCTTCAAGAAATGTGGTATTTTATCTGCTGAGTCTGTCATTGTAGCTCGTGCTGGAGTGCTAGAAGATCCCTTTGCAATTATAGATGAAGAAGACCACTTTAATGATGAAAGCCATGATGAATTAACAAGTCTTGTCAATGAGGTTAATATCGGTCTTACATGCTCTTCAGAAGAGTATTTAGCTGGTGACGATTTGCAGGTTTGTAATGATGCTGGGGAGGATTGGGAAGAACAGTTTATGGCTGAACTTACACTAAATCAAGTTGAAGAGACACAGGAGGATGGCGAAGATGATGAGTCCTTTGATCTGCAACCTCCTGCTTTAAAATACAGGACTTATCAAGAAGCTATACTTGCTTTAGAAGATGTTCAAGCATTTTTAGATAGCAAAGGACATAATGATTTATCAACAACAGTGGGAGCACAAATAGATTCCCTGACTAGCTTACATTATGCTAACATGAGTTCTGCCAGGCAAACAACACTAGAAGAGTACTTTAAGTAACATTTATGGCATCATAATGACTACTTTATTTAATAAAATAACCTTTTAAGTTATAAAAAATAAAACCCCTCAATAAAGACCACCCCTATATAACGGCCAAAGGGCCAGTTCCCAATGGTGACCGTTATACAGAGGTTCCACTGTATATAATATTTATTTGTATGTCTACAATTACATTTCTTCTATACACGTTGTATTGGAGAAATAACAAGCCTTAGCAACCACCCGCCCACGCTCGTTTACGTGAGTGGGTGTGGTCACGGCAAACAAAATGGCGGCTTACACATGGGACAAAGCTAAGAGCTTTCTAACAGCAAGAGAGCATAGAGATACTGTCTAAAGACTTCTCTAGAAGCATTATAAGGTAGAGAGAACCTCTATAAGTCTTAGTAATGACCAAATTGTACTTGCAAGGTGGTGAAATCAATTATAGGAATATTTTTTACCCTGTTACACTTGTTTGTTTCCTGCTGTGGTTCATATTTAAAATTTTATAATTATAAGTTAATAATTTTATTTCAATTAGGTAACAGAGCAACTGGACGTGCTCCTCTTCCTCCTGTCCCACACAAACCAGCCAAACCTTCTTACAAACTGAGCGACTTTCAATTAATTAAAGTTTTCGGGAAAGGAAGCTTGGAAAGGTGATCAAATTATTAATGACATTACTCTCACATGACAATCATGTGCTTCTATTCTTCAGGTTCTTCTTGCTAAATTGTCGAATGGAAACAAGGCATATTTTGCCATTAAAGCAAATTTCAATATCTTATATTTAATTTCAATATTAATTTTTAATTTTTATATTTAATTTTTTAAATATATTTTAATTTCAATATCCATCTGTCGTAAACTCTACATTACCTTAGTGAGACCTCAGTTGACATACTGCTGCCAAATCTGGAGGCCACATCTACTGAAGGATATCAGACTACTAGAGCCTATACAAAGACAATCTTCCAAATGGATTTTAGATGGTTACGTCTCTGATTGCCAATCTCATCTACTATCCCTCCATTTAC